AACAGTTTTCATCACCTCTGCCAACAGTGCAGTGGTAGTGGTTGATAGGATAACATTACCTAAATAATTCAATTCACAGTGGTGGGCAGCACTAATCTAAATATTAGTGGCACTAACCCTAAAGCACTAACTCAGATATTTAGGTCCCCTAATTCTAAAGCACTAACTCAAATATTTAGGTCCCCTAATTCTAAAGCACTAACTCAGATATTTAGGTCCCCTAATTCTAAAGCACTAACGCACTGAAAAAATTAGCAAAAGCTAATTCTAAAGCACTAATATAATCCAGTTGACACATGAAACATTCTTCGGAGTCAACATGAGACAGTATTTACTGTGTACAGAATATTGTCACTTAGTGCCTATGGTGGGCCAAATGGGAGTCACCCGCAGGCCACATTTAGTCCGCAGGCCTTGAGTTTGACACATGAACTTGTAGATAAGCAACACACATATGAACAAAATGTATGACCGCTTTCACCCTCACCTGTGAAGTAGAGATGCACGAAATATYGGCATTAATATCGGTATCAGCCGAAATGTAAAACTGGGCCGATGTTAACGTCTCATATTGATTTCCCACTTTTTATCTTTGTGTTTCTGTTTTTGGAGAGGAGATGGTTGGTTGAGCAGCATCTGTTTGATCATGATAGTGATATTGATGCTGTGCAGCCAGGAATAACTGAAGTAGAGCCATGTCAGAGGTCTGGTCATTTATTTACGGTATCCAAAAATGACCCAAGTGTTTTTGTGCATATAATATAATTTGTGTGTTTTTCTAATATCGGTAAACATCGGTTATTGGCCATAACACCAATAATTATATTGGATATCGATATTGGCTGAAATTTTCAWATCGGTGCATCCCTACTGTGAACAATAATGTTGATTAATAACATTTAAAGACCTCAGTTAGTGCTTCTAAATTTAGCAAGTGCTAATAAAGCACTAATCAAGAAATTAGTTCCCCTATTAGTGCTTTAGGGGAACTGTGCCCACCACTGCAATTCACCATCAACTGTTACTGATACATTATGGCATAAACGGATGTGAAAAGTTTTTTTTTTCATATTGCATTCCCAGTATGTTGTTTGCTAAATATCAACTTTGTAACAAATTTCATCAAACTATAGAATAAACTGGGACATCCCTACTTTTCTTTTGGTAAAGACTCAAAACAAAGAATCCGTTGTGGCATTAGCAGAGTAATCATTGTTATTAGGGTTGACCAGTTGAGCTGTGTGTGTTTTTGTCAACTAACAGAGATAACAGGATGTACATAATTGGTAAACTATTCAGACACTTCAAACGTGTGCAGCACTAACATTTGTGTATGTAAAAGCTTGGAATGCCACACTTCTCATCGCCATCAAAAAAAGCTTCAGCTGTTAAAGTAAAATGTTTTCAGCTAACAGAAAAGTCTAACTGCAGACCTATTAAACCTTTATGATGACTTCAAGCTTGATTTTACTTAAAAGATCTCATGTTTCCATTTGTACTAATAAGTCTGTGTTAAACCTGTCTGTTTGGTGCCTTTGTGTTTGGGCATGTTTAAACACACAGAATGTTGTTTTCCATGGCGCGTACCCCCCTGACACACCCTTTCCAGCGTCCAGCCCATCCTCTCCTCRTCTCTGTGACCCTTTGCGAGCAGCTGGTGGGTTCTAAAAATAGAGTTAGAGATGTTCTGGAACTGAGAAAGCAAAAAAACACCTAAACAAGAAAAAATGTAACTTCTGCTGTTTTAMACAGCCGACCATTTTATCCTTCTCTACGTCCACATTTTATATTGTTCTATAATAGGGCTGATGTTTTTTTTTTAATGTTTAAAAAAGCAAACCTGTACAGCATAAAAGGAGAATGTTTAAGATGAAAGTTTCTAAGTCTGCTTTATTTGGTTTGCCCAATTGGTATCGGGTTGTGTCAAGACTCCTACTTGGTTGTAATTTGACGTTACCGGTGTAAATGTTTGAGCGTGTGTGTGTCCGTGTGAAGCGTTAAGCCATCAAGGGAGAGCGGTGTTTCCTAAATCACGACTGTGTACACAGTCTAATGGAGTCCATGCAGGATGTGTGTCTTGAGGAGAGACAGGTGATGGATCTCTGGCGGCAAGTGGGATAACGCTGTGTTCCCAGACACACGGAGGGGAGACAGGTGTGGAGCCGGTAGATACTCGTGTCTGTTAGCACTGTGGTGAATGAGCACCTAYTTCATCACATTAAAGCAGTTCAATGTATCACAGCTGCTGTTTAATGTCTTGCAGAGTGACTTGTTAATGTGTGACTGCCGTTTTTTTTTTTTGTCAGTCAAGGCCGTCCATTATCTAAATGTATGAAACCAACAGATTTTCTTGAAGCAAGTTCTTTGTCTTTGAGTTTGGAGTTGACCTTTAGATGTTAGCTGGAGGCTAGATGATTGACTTTCCTGTCCTCGCTCTGCCCTGACAGACTGACCGTCTCTGATTTTTGTGCGCCGGGTCCTGAGAAGCGATCCCATCTATGACAGTGGCATGACACCTGTGGCTAAGCATCAGTATGACCCCTTCACCCCTAAAGCTGCCCCCACATTACCATCCCAATCACACGCATGTATGACAAGTCATGAGTTCGGTTTGGTGCTGCGAAGCTGTGCAATCTGACCCAAGTCCCCACGTCTCTTCAACAGTATTATCCACCCCTGTAAATTTCATGTGGCCTCACCACCTGTCGTCAGCTGTATTTCACCCGGTCTGCGCCCTTAGCGGTCCACGGCCTTCCCCGCCCCTTTTGTAGTTTGAGGCGGCATGAGAAAATATTCAAAGATTCTCTGGAATGAAACTCTTGACATATATAATTAATCCCAATCCAGACTCTAATCAGATCACATTGCCTGGCACATACAACTGGCAAAAGTGTAATCCAGTGAACAAGTTCAGTTGTGTCGTTATCTTTCTTTCTTGGAAAAACCTTCAAAAGGTTCAGAAGGTTTGTCTTGAAAGAATCCCTAAGTGGTACCAACTAATGGTTAAGTTAATGTCTCCACATCACTGCACATTATCAGCTTGGCTCTCTTGGGATCTCAACTAAAGTAGTGCCATTAAAAAAGTTATTTCACTTATYGGTTATCATCCTTTTTTAATTAAGTGGTGTGCAGCACGGCTTGGCTATTTTGTGGTATTCCATTGTTGGTACTACAGTGCGTAACTGATACTTTTTTTGGTACAAGCTTTGCACCTGCTATGATAATAATCAGACCATCCATCTAACATTAAGAGCCTGTTAGCGGGGTAAAATGAAGCAGGAAGGTAGAGTAGTAGAGAAGTAACAGAAAGGCACCTATGGGATTAATTTTTGCTCCTCATGTTAGCTGTTAGGTCAGACGGTTGTTAAAACATGTTTATAGTTTTGGCTACTTTCACATTGTAAGCAAACGTGACCCAAAACTGAATTTTATTGTATTTTTATTTATTTTTTTAATCTGACCCAGGTCTTTTCAGTACTGTGGTACTCATCTTCTTCGCATGCAGGGATTCAGGGCCGTGACTTCACACTAGAGTTTAATGGAGGTTGCATTTTAAAAAAATATGAACATTCATGCAATAAAATTGGATTTTTGCAAAAAAAAAAAAATCAGAATTGAGTATTAAGAGCTGCACTGTGAACATAGCTTTTTAACTTATGTCATGGTTTGTGAAGTTCTCAGATGAGGTATTTTTGATATGTTTGCTGTTACTTATGTTGTTTCGACATTTGGAATTGTTTGTTCCTGGAAGTATTGAGGGTACTTCATGCAAAGACTGATTTATTTAGACAATAATTTAATTTTAATTTAATTTAAAAGTTTATTCATTTAAAACAAAACAACACAAATTCAACAAACAAACAAAAAAAAACCCTGATCAAATTAAATGAAAGGTAGCAGAAGAAGAAAAGAATCTTAAGATTTCTAACCCTTTAGTAAAAGTTGTAGAATCAGCTAGTAAAAAGCAGAATGTCATAGGTAGGGCTGCAAAAATGAATTGTTAAAATCGATTATTAAATGCATTGGCAACGAATTTCATTTGTTCATTTCATCGATACGTTTTGTGTGTGTGTGTGTGTGTGTGTGGGTGTGGCGGGGGTGGCTGCTTCTGAACTGCTTACTGGGTCATTTTAGCAACAAGAATGAAGCAAAACATAAAGAATTAGAGGAAAATCATTAATTCTAAAAGCAAATAAATTGTAATTATAATAAATTAATAATAGTTTTACATCTAAAAATCATATTTTATTATTTTTATCTGTTTTCCCTCATTCAGCAACCTATTAAATTTCTGTTTTGTTATGTTTTATAGCTATAATCAAGTTTATTAATGTATGAGAAATCCACATTTTTTTTCTCCAGTCAGTGTTTAATACGGCTGGGAAAATCAATTGTGAAAAATTTTATGATGCGCTTCTTTTTTAAATTTAGCATATTATTTAAAAAATCCTTCATTTTATGAAAAGACCCTCTTGATTCTATAGAAAACTCTGGTTTTTAAGAAAATGGCTGCTTATAAATTAATCGTAAGTCAATTGATAAGATAAATCATCTTCAGACAGCTTCACATTAATCGATAACTTGCATCCCTAATTTATACAAGAATTAAATTAATTTATATCTACTCATATTTATGTAATTAAGTGTTTTAATGATTTGGCCGATTAATCGAAAAAATAATCGACAGCTTAATCGATTATTCAAATAATCATTAGTTGCAGCCCTAGTTGGGCTGCGACTGTTGATGACTAATTAGCGAATGGCATTTGCAACAAAGTCTCCAAAATGTCTCAATACTTTTGCAGGGACTCTCATTTTCCTGATGTGATTAGCAGATGTGAGTTTTTCTTGTGTGAATTTTGAACATGTTTCAAGACTGGAATTATTTTCAAGGATCAGTTTTGTCCTTATCAGAATTAAACTATTTCTCCAACTCGAAGCCTTTTGAAGAGTTACAATCAAACTTTGTAGCACTCATACATGTTCTTGTTTTCTTCCAGATGGTCTCCATAGGGTCGTTGCTCTCTGCACCCTGCGTGTCACYATCATCACCGACGACATGTTGACCAACAGCATCACGGTCCGCCTGGAGAACATGTCGCAGGAGCGCTTCCTCTCCCCCCTGCTCAGCCTCTTCCTGGAAGGCGTGGCGGCCGTGCTCTCCACAAAACGGGAAGCCGTGTTCGTGTTCAACATCCAGAACGACACCGACGTCCAAGGCTCCATCCTTAATGTGACTTTCTCGGCGCTGCAGCCGGGAGGCGCCTCGGGTAAAGGGACGTTTTTCCCTTCGGAGGAGCTGCAGGAGCAGATCTACCTCAACCGGACTCTGCTCAGGCTGATATCCTCTCAGGAGGTAGCACACAAGTCGAAAACTTCAAGTCTAAAAGCAAGTGTATGATTTTTACTGTAGCTGAAATTTCCTCCTCCCCTCAGGTTTTACCATTCGATGATAATATCTGCCTGCGAGAGCCCTGTGAGAACTACATGAAGTGTGTGTCGGTGCTGAAGTTCGACAGCTCCCCGCCCTTCATTGCCTCAAACACGGTTCTGTTTCGGCCCATCCACCCCATCAACGGGCTCCGGTGCCGCTGCCCAGTTGGTTTTACCGGAGACTATTGCGAGACGGAGATAGACCTCTGCTACTCTGGACCATGTAAGAACAATGGGAGGTGCCGCAGACGGGAGGGGGGATACACCTGCGAGTGTCAGGAAGACTTCACTGGTGAGTCTGATAACTTATCTCCTTATTAGGTTAAAGTTTTTCACCATAAAAGTTTGTTTTACATTGRCATTAACAAAAATGACGAACTGCACAGACTTCGTTGGAAATGTAGTTGTAGAGTTTGAAGTTATTAAACATTTTTGCAGTAGTGTGCACAATTCTCTAATTTGCTAATAGCGGAGCTAGCTCATCATTTAGCAGATTAGCYTTTCTGCTAAATTTGGGAACTGATAGTGGACCGATTAGCTTCCATTAATTTTAAGTCAACAAAAATAAAAATTCACAAGTGTGAAGCTTAACATTTTATACAGTTTATCCCAAATTAAATTACAAGCAGTGCTGGACATGTCAGGCACCGTGTGTAGCATCTTTAGCAGCTAAACTTCAAACTAAGAGCATCAAAAGAAATAAAATAACATTTAACAATATTTAAGAAAAACAAAAATCAACTACATATAAAATGTGGTAGAGAATTAGTTGTTTGACTAAATTCAAACAGCATTTATAAAAATACAAACTCGATCAAAGAAATGCTTTTATTCTGAAAAGATTAGACTATTTGGACAGGGCTATAACTTTGTTTTGTTTGTCTTGCTACAAATGATCTCTTCAAATAAACCAATAGAATAAAACAGAATCAAACTAACAACAAGTTTACTTCAGTCCCACCTGTCTCTAGCCATCTTAGGGGTTAGCATTAGCTTCTTCTAATATATGATAAAGGTCTGTTTATATTATATAAAGCAATAATTGTTCCACACTTGATCTACTGTATTGATGTTTGGGGAAAATCATGCAAAACAATTACAAACCCAATTTTTGTTTTACAGAAAAAAAGCTGTGAGAATTATCACCAGAAAGCATTACTATCACCCATCAAACACATTGTTCCATCAGTTGAAGTTATTGAAATTCAATGCTTTGG